AGAGAGAGAGAGAGAGAGAGAGAGAGAGAGAGAGAGAGAGAGAGAGAGAGAGAGATGCCTTAGTATACCTGGGCTACTAAAAAAACCTCCCTTCCAAGCTATACGGAGGTACTGATGGCCCTAACTCTTAGCTTCACACTGACCTCAGTGGACCCTGTCTAGAGTTAGTCCCATTAATCCTTCTTGATGTATTTTTCCAACTAATTCCTTTTGCTTCCATCTGTTCCTTCTTAAGATCTGGGCACTTTTCTACAAGTTATCTGTTGCCAGTTGTTTTCTCATCTGCCTTGAAAGTGGTTTAAAGACCCTAAAAGTAATTTATAGAATAACTGTGACCTTGCCCTGCATTTCACTGCTCATTACTAGCTACTACCTAACGTTCCCCCCTGAAGGACTAGAGACCCTAAATCATATAGGGAACAAGGGTGATAAAATAAAATCATTGGCTGATGAGGGGCAAGGCCTTTTGGGTAGGTATGCCCAGTCTTTGCAGTCAGTGAAATGTTCTAGATTACAAGTAAGGTCATCCTGGGGACCATGGCAAATCTCTGATTTAGTAGAAACAGATAATAAAGCCATCTGGGAGGCAGATGCCCTATGAGAAAAACAAAAAGACTCACATATGGGAATAAGATGGATACAATAGGTACAGCGACATCCGAATATATCAATGAGCATGATAATGACTACAGACACCAGCAATTTCCTCTATTAGCAAGTGCCAGAAAACCATGAACTAAAAAGTTGTCCCCATGATAAGGCTGGTGAGGGCACAGCATCTATCTGGAAGTGCAAGTCTTTGAGGAATTTAGTCACGTGGTCAGAGTTGTCAGGGATGTATGTAAACACCACATCCAGTCTGAATTTGGTTTTGTAAAACAGCTTTTCTCTAAGTTAAGGAGACAAACACCTCTCTCAGGGTCATGGAGAGTTTCTGGGGTATAATTGGTCCAGAGCTTCCACAGGCCAGATTATATCCTTTAGAGCAATTTTTGGAATAAACAGGGAAGCTAAATGGTCATACCAATGAAAAATGGCTTATCCCCATCCATGCTTGAGGCTGGGGAGGTTTTCAGGTGTCCTGTTTTGTGTCCATCTCTCAATAGTAGATCTTCTCATCTAGCCTGGAGACAGGAGGGGCCATAAGTTGTTCCTAGATATCCACTGGGTCCCATTGGGTGCTATGCACCCAATTCCAGGTCTTGATGAACCAATTAGTCCCAAATCAGTCATCAGTCTATTAAATCAAAATATGTTGATATTGAGATTCTGGGGTCCATTTTAACTCCTGAATGGAATTAGGCTACCTACCATAAGTGTAATTACATTATTCCCAACAAATTGGGGCCTTCTGATTTAGATGTCCTGTAGTAAGTGTAAGCCATATATATTCATCCCCCCAATTTTTTTAAAATTGGGAATTGAATTGAACCCAGGGGCACTTAATCACTGAGCCACACCCCCAGCTCTTTTTATTTTTTATTTTGAGACAGGGTCTCACTAAGTTGCTTAGGGCCTCACTAAGTTGCTGAGGTTGGCTTGAACTTTTGATCCTCCTGCCTTAGCCTCCTGAGTTGCTGGGTTTATAGGCATGTGCCACCACGCCTGGCTATATTCATCCCAAATTTGATAGTAACCATCCTTACATATTTGACATTCTGGTATTAATAGTGGAAGATGAGGAGTAGATGGGCTCAAAAGCTCGAAAATTGGCTTGCTCTAAAGTGGAGTTTTTTTCCCATGACCTGGCTGTGACAAAGTCTTTTTTATAGGCCACAATTTAACATTTGCACAAGTAGTAGTTAGTGATGGTACATCTCTTCCTTTTGTTGTAGCATTAGAGATTGTAATTTTATATAGTAGTCCCTTTTTAGGGAGATACCCAACAAGGTAATGTCAATTAATTGTTCTGATTGTTCAACTATTGACAACATTAAAAAAAAGGAAGGAAGGAAGAAAGGAGGAACTTGCTGGGCACAGTGGCACATGCCTATAATTCCAGACACTTGCCAGGCTAAGGTAGGAGGATCACAAGTTCAAGGCCAGCCTCAGCAACTTAGCAAGACTCTGCCTCAAAATAAAATATAAAAAGGGATGAGAATGGGGTCCGGGGTTGTGGCTCAGTGGTAGAGCGCTTGTTTAGCATGCATGAGGCAGTAGGTGTGATCCCCATACCACATTAAAATAAAAACAAATAAAATAAAGATATAAAAAAAGGGATGAGGATGTGACTCAGTGGTTAATTGTCCCTGGGTTCAATTCCCATACCAAAAACAAACAAACAAACAAAACTAAAAGCCCAAACAAACAAAACAAACTTGGAGTTCCTTGAATGGAAAACTTAAAACTTAGACAAGCTCCTAACTTTATTAAGATATCATGACCCAATAATGGAGTTGGACATTTAGCCATTACCAAAAAAAAAAAAAAAAAAAAAAAAAGTGAGCATTACATCTCCCCAGCTGCGACACACAGGAGGAGTAAAACGTCTTACCCTGGGTTCTCCATTGGCCTTCACTAACTGCTGAGCTGGAATCAGCAGAAAGGTGTCCAGGAAATGAGGTCCAAGCACTCTGAGTGGCGCCAGTATCCAAAAGGAATTGAATGGCCTAGTTCTTACCTCCAGAATTACCCTCGGTGTAGCCCTACTGATGGTGACGGTGACTGGGCTGCCGACCAGTTCTGAAGGCCTCCTCATTCTTGGGCCATCACTTGGAGAGTGTCTGATCGAAGCCCCTTCAGCCCTGAGGGCAGTCAGCTTGCCAGCGGCCTCTCCTGCCTCACTCAGGGCAAGGAGTCTTTGGAAGCTTTGCCCTTAATCGGGCAATCTTTCTTCCAGTGTCCTGGTTTTCTGCAATGACGGCAGATGTCTTCAGGGCTAGAGGTCCTGTGGAGAAAGGAAGAGGTGGTCTCTAAGAGCTGCAGCCTTTCTCTCACCCCCCTTTTTCTCTTTTCACCCGTTTCCTCTCAGCCTCTATTACAAAAGACCTGGGAGGCTACCTGGGGTAGGCCATCAAAGGAAGTCCCAGGACCCGCTACCATTTTTTGTGATTTCTTTCTAATATCTGGAGTGGACTGAGTGATGAGTTTATCTTTTAAAATAAGTTGCCCTTTAAGAGATGTAGGAGGGAAGAGTGTATATTTTACTAAAGCTTTCCTTTCTAGAAAAGCTGTGAGACTTTTCTCTAACCTCTGATCAATAGTTGCCAATTTCATGTAATTAATAGGTTCTATCCTACTGTTTTAAAGTCCTGCCATGAGACAAGTGATCATGGGATCCCTAAGCCACTTGCCAATTGATTCATCGTAATTCCATTGAGGGTCCTCAGTTGGGACAGCTGAAGGACCCACAGGGTATAAAGTGTAGGTAATCATTTCCCAGAACCCTAGCCGCTTCTGTTACCCGATGTCTGTCTGTGTCTGTTAGAGTTTGACTCAAAATTTCCGTTTTTGTCTCCCTAGGTTAGATCAAAAGTTTGGGTTAAATGTTGGAATCCCTCTATATATTTATCAGGGTCATTAGAAAACTTCCCAAAATCCTGCTTAATTTGTTTTAGATCTCACATAGAAAAAGGCACCTGTATTCTGACTGTCCCAAATTCTCCAATTGTTTCTTGTAATGGGCGTCATCTGGTCATAGGCTCAGTGGGGACAGGCTTGTGACAAAACAAACAGGAGCAGTAGGTAATGGTGGACAGAGAAGAGTGGAAGAATTAGACTTTGATGGATCTGAGTGTGAAGCACACGGTTGAGAGGGAGGAAGGTGGAGTTTTAGGGGATCCTGTAGGCCAGCAGTGTCATGACTCATCATTGCTACAAGAGCATCATCAAAGAAAGCCTCTATGTAGAAGACTTCTGACCATTTCCCTTCATAGACCTGGTATTGGAGAGTAGAAAGGAATGGAGTTTTTGTGTCACTGTGTTGGAAACATGGAAAGTCCCAAAACAATAGCAACAATAAATAAGTGACATAGAAAAGAGCAAGGATCACAGTGTTGTTCTGCTTTCTCTTTGAATATAAATATGAGGGGACATAGTGTCCAGGAAGAGTCACTATACATTCCCACTTCATTATATTTTTTTTTACATTTTTAAATTTTTATTTTGTGGAGCTGGGAATTGAACCTAGGGCCTCATGCATGCTAAGCAAATGCTTCATCACTGAGCCATACCCCCAACCCACAGAGTCACTATATGCTAAGGATAAAAACTACCGTTTTGGTAAAGAAAAGAAAACCAGTTGAGAAAATGTTTAATAGCTGCGAGGTATCTTAAACTAACTAGTACCCAGTACGGTGATTTGTAAAGATGGTGAGCTCATTACCCTCCAGATTCTGGATATGGCCTCTAATAGAAGGTGATGGTGTCCTTCCTGAAGAGAGTCAGGTATACACCATCAGATGACAGCCTCAACAGCGGAGGAGTCCCAGTGCCGCCGTAGTGGCCCTGCTCAAAAAGCCACAAAAAGCAAGAGAGCGTGCAAGTCTTCATGCCAGCCAGAGAAAACAAGGTGTCACAGAGGTTACTGATTGCAGAAACGATGAACAAATACTACATGATGATATAAGACAAAGAGCACAGGTGTCACATGGAAGGGCTTTTGGCAGAAGGAAGTGTACGCGGCCAAGTCCAAGGCAAAAGGCAAGGTATCAGAGGCTAGGTTAGACGTCATCTTAACCAAGGCTGGGAGACGAGCAAGGTGAAATTTAAATACCTGTTCTGTCGATGGCTGTCAATCCAAGTCCAGGCACCAGGTTAGATGTCACTGGAGAGTGGGGAGCTGAAGCTGCAAACCTCAGTTCTGGTGTCCTGATGAAAGAAAATTGGAAGTCTGCCACCCAACGTCATGCAAGAGATCATAAGAGAAAGTAAAGTAAAAGCCGAGTAAGGTTCAAGCAGAGAGCACTCTCAAGAGAGTGGGTCATCTCAGAGCAGAGAAAGAGTAACAATGCCTCCCCAAATTTATTGCTGTTTTACGGCTGCTCTGAGAATTGGAGTCCACCTTCTTCACTCTGCCAATCAGGTGTAAAAATCCTCCTTCGTGTGGGTCAGAGGAGTTTTTGACCCTAATTGGTCCTCTCTGGAGCTGTCATGGTGGCCACCCTATTCAGGGGGCTTCATCTACAAGTCAATTCTATGTTAATGTGGGTATTGGGGTCAGTGGCCGGTCACAAGTTGTCTTAGTGTGCCTGCGCCTCTAAAGAAACTTCCTTTCCAAGATATATGGAGGCGCTGATGGCCCTAACTCCTAGCTTTTCGCTGACCTCAGTGGACCCAGTCAACAGTTAGTCCCTTTCTTGACGTATTTCTCCAATGAGCTCCGTTCCCTTCTATTTGTTTATTCTCAAGATCTGGGTACTCGGTGTTTTTCTATAGGTTATCCATTAGCTGTTGTTTTCTCATCTGCTTTGAAAGTTGTTTAAAGACTCTAAAAGTAACTTAAAGAACACCTGTGACCTTGCTGTGCGTGTCATTACCAGTTACTACCTAAGAGTTGCAGTGGGGCTGAGCATTTGTGACAGAGACTGTGGAGTCCACAAAACCTTCCCAGAAGGAGCTAGCTGACCCGGGTCTAGTCGAGGATAACCAACCTCAAGTCAACTTTTTTACCACGCCAAGGAAAAAGTCAGATGCAGAAAGCTATACAGTACCTGATTCCATTTTTACAGAAATACTTAAAAAAAGATACAACTCTGGAGATGGAAAGCAGAGTAGTGGTGCTGGGGTGAGGGGACAAAGGGCGGCAGACTGAAGAGTCACAGGGGGCAGGAGACCTCTGAGGCTGGGCTATAGGATGACCACACAGCTCTGTAAATTAACTGAAACTCACCAAGCAGCACACTTAGAATGGGCAGACTTTATGGTCTGTAAGTGATACCTCAGTAATGTTGTCCAACTGACTGCGGTGGCTGCACAGCTCGGTCCTTCTCTACCACCTGGCGCCTGGCACAGAGGACTCCATAAACATTTGCTGACTAAATCGGGAAAATTTATGAGAATTTCAAAGAATTAATCCTGCTTCCTAAGGTGTTCAGACATTGACCCTTTGCAAGGTGACATGGGTCTTTCTCCACACACCCCCCTGCTGATGAGAAGCAGGTCCTGTGGATTCCTCCTTGATGGCCTCCTTCGAAGCACCTCTGTGACCAACAGCCCTGGAAGGCACAGCAGGCTTTGGCTGCTTTCCACCAGGCCACCCCTGCACCTCAGTGTCGCTGTCTTCTCAATCAAGACCTCTGTTTATTTTTGGATGGAAGCTGATTGCCGGGGGGTGGGGGCGCAGGGCCACCCCAACAGCCTCAGATTTGGACCCCTGGATCTCATCAGGCTGCCTTGGTTATGCCATGGGGGAGGGACTCAGGGCCTCTTGAAGGAAATGGCAGAAGACCCAGAGAACAAGGGGCTCTTGGGTGCTGGGAAAGGTCCCACCAGAGGGCACCTTAGCTCCCTGCTTTATCAGTGACAGGAGCTGGGCTGCAGGGCGGTTAGGATGCAGACTTCGGCAGGGTGAGTGTGGTGTCCACACCCAGAGCAGGGTCCACACACACATCTCCAGGGTTGTAGTAACCTGACTGTGGTGCAGGGACAGACCCCTTTAAGTGCCCCCTCTCCACTCTCTCCCCAGTCTCTCCAAGGCCATCCCCCTCTCCAGAGTAACCTCCAAGGCCACTTCCTTCCCAGCCTCCTCCAAGGCTCCCCTCCCCCACAGCCCCTCCAAGGCTTTCCCTACCTTCCAAGACTCCTGCCTCCCCTGTCCCTCCAAGTTCCCCCCTCCATCCCTCCTCCAGGGATATGCCTTCTCCACTCCAGCTGCCTGATACCAGAGGGGACACCACAGCCTGTGGTGGCCAGCACTCTCAGGAGCCCAGGCTGGATCACCATGAGGCTGGAATTAAAGGAACCCCAGCTGTCTGCAAAAAATGTCGATTCATTACCCAAATTCATAAAGACAGGCAGAGAAAACAACTACAATAAATAATTTAATTAAAATTCCAAACACAAAAGCATTAATGTTAACATTTGATTGTTGGAAAATATACACAGCCTTTCCCCATGTTAACATAAACACTGGCTCATGGTAACAACACCCACTGAAATAAAATCATTTAGGCACTTGGGTGTAGAAAGTGGGGAAGAATAAAATATAATCTTTGCTGCTGCTCCCCATGAGGTCTGAGGAGCTGTTCTTGCTCCCCATGAGGTCTGAGGAGCTGTTCTTAACACAGCCAGCATTACTGATGAAAACCGGTGGCCATGCACCTCCCGGGGCAAGGTCCAGTACATTTAAAATGGGAAAATTTCCACCAATAACATATAAGATTTCCAATTCCTTTCAGTCTGAGATAGAACCCAAAGAAAGATGACATTTCCTTTTAACTACTTTGGCTTTTTTTCTTCATTCTTGAATAGTTAAGAACGTGACTGGTGGGCACTTAAACAGGACAGGACCCAGGGATGCACGTGAGGTTCAGGAAAGTTAAGTGTCTGACAACTTGCTTTCTTGTGAGGTCACTGGCCTTCAATTTTAACCTTAACTCAGATGGGATTTGGGGGGGGCCTCTGAATAAAACCCAAAATACAGAACCACCAGCATGTCACTCAGAGTGGGCCCCAGAGCACCTTCCTGGAGGATGAACAGCAGGGTTGTCCTGGTGTGCTCTTCTTGCTGTGGTCCTCTTGGGCTGCAGACAGGGTGTCAAGGCTGTGGATGTGGCCGGGAGGCCGAGCTGGGTGCTGGCCCCGAAGCCGGTGGTCACTGAGCGGCCGCAGCAGCCTGCATGTGCTGTAGGAGCTGCTCACAGTAGGTGGCTGAGCGGTGCTTGTGGATGACGGCCTCGGTCTCCCGTACTAGGAGGTCTGGAAACAGCACGCTGCCCTCTTTGAGGACCTCTGCAAAACAGCGAAACCCCTTGAAGATGCCAGAAGCCAACGGCAAGCAGCCTTGTGCTCTGCACCCAAGCTCCCAGGTCAGAATGTGTGAGCATTTCGCAGGCTGATGAGGTCACAGTGTGGGCAGAAGGAACTTACAACAGTCCCCTTGGAGCTGCTGGAGAACACAGAGCGGGCATCGTTTCTGTGTCCGAAGGGCCTTGGTAGCATCTGAACCCAGGGGCTCTACCACTGATCTATACCCCAGCCCTCCTTTTCTTATTCGAAAAATAACATTTTTATTTAAGAATCAAAATGTAATTAGTCATTTGTGATATGCTTCTTGCTCAGCAGCGGGTCTAACTGGTAGAGGTATTTAGAGGGTTGCTAGGATGTGAGGACAGGGAGTAGAAGGTAAAGATATTACAACAATGTTGTTCAACTTTGATGTTTTCTTAAGGCCTTTCTTTACCTCCTGAGTCATGAAATTATTTCACTTAGAAGTCTTTCTTCCATTTACTTCCTTCCAAAATTTCTCCTTCTTTTATATTTTCTAGTTCATATTTTTAAAAAATTTTTGCTCTTTTTAGTTATATATGACAATAAAACGTATTTTGACATATTATACAAACCTGGAGTGTAACTTCCCATTCCTGTGGTTGTACATGATGTGGAGTTACACAGGTCGCGCATTCAGATATGAACATAGGAAAGTGATGTCTGATTCATTCTACTGTCTTTCCTATTCTGATCCCCCTCCCTTCCCTTCATCCCCCTTTGTCTAATCCAGTGAACTTCTATTCTTCCCTCCCTCCCCTTATTGTGTGTTAGCATCTGCATATCAGAGAGAACCCCTGATCTCAGCTCTTTTTATTTTGAGACAAGGTCAGTAAGTTGGTGAGGTTGGTCTTTTTTTTTTTTGAAAGAGAATTTTTTAATATTTATTTTTTTAGTTATCGGCAGACACAACATCTTTGTTTGTACGTGGTGCTGAGGATCGAACCCGGGCTGCATGCACGCCAGGTGAGCGCGCTACCGCTTGAGCCACATCCCCAGCCCCATGTGAGGTTGGTCTTAAACTCAAGGTCCTCCTGCCTCAGTCTTCCAAGTCACTAGGATTGCTTAAGAAATTGTAGGACAATGCCTATGTAAATTTAAATGTCACAGTAACAATGAATTCTTGCTAGTTTATATAAATATATCCCATTGGCTGCAGGGCCATGCATGTAATCCCTGATTCAGGAGGCTGAGGTAGGAGGATTGTAAATTGGAGGCCAGCCTCAGCAATTTAGAAAGAGCGTAATAAGCAATTTAGTTAGAGCCTATTGCAAAGTGAAAAATTAAAAGAGCTGGGGATGAGCACTCCTAAGTCAATCCCAAGTACCAATTAACCAACAAGGGGCTGGGGATGTGGCTCAAGCGGTAGCACGCTCGCCTGGCATGCGTGTGGCCTGGGTTCGATCCTCAGCACCACATACAAAACAAAGATGTTGTGTCCGCCGAAAACTAAAAAATAAAAAAATATTAAAAAAAACCAAAAAAAACAAAAAAAAACAAAAGCCACATGCTTCCCCAGCAGGTGTTTGAGCCAAAGCAGAATGAGGTGATATTTGACAGGTGATTCCTGCTCCTGACACTCCATTTACTCCCAGTGGTTCTTTCCCTCCAGTGGAGGCCTCTGTGCATGACTGTTGCTGGCATCACAAAAGCAATGTTGCCATCGTTCAAATGCAAGATGGACTGATGGACTGTAATGCGGGGGAGTACGAGGTTCCTGAGGTGTCGTCCATTTGCTGGGTAAAGAATCTCAGGAACTAGTGTCTCTCCATTGGTACCACTGGTACTATATGGTACCAGAGGGGAGGACCCACAATTATCTGAAAAGGCTTTAAAAATACCCTTTGTGGACTGGGGTTGTGGCTCAGTGGTAGAACGCTTGCCTCGCATGTGTGAGGCCCTGGGTTTGATCCTCAGCACCACATACAAATAAATAAATAAAAGAAAAAAAATGCCCTTTGCTACTCCAGTTGAATGTGAGGTGGAGGTGGGGACACATCTTTTCTCAGTTTCAACCAAAGAACTACAGGCCCCACAGGACTGGATGCAGCGGCAGATGTGACAATCTAGTCACCTCTCATCAAGCTGGATGTTAGAGAGAGTTGCAAAATGTAAGAGCTCCACCACTCTTCTGCTGTTTTGTTTTAGAAAATATGTTTCCCAAAACACAAGTTATTTGTGTTGTTACATAATGGGTCTATTGTTATGTTAGCTTTTATTATTTTTTTTAGTATCAGGGATTGACCCTGGGAGTGTCCTACCAATGAGCTAATCCCCAGCCCTTTTTAAATTTTTTTTTATTTGTTTTTTTAAATTTTGAGACAGGGTCTGGCTAAGTTGTCCAGAGGGCCTTGAACTTATGATCCTTCTGCCTTAGCCTTCAGAGTTACTGGGATCATAGGCATGCGTCACCACTCTCAGTTACTGTTATTTTAAACGAATTAACAATTACTAAAAAATTTCTCAACTTTTACTTCCTCATTATTGAAGGCCTTTGATATAATTCAGTACCCATTCATGATTAAAAAACTGAAGAAACTGGGATCAGACAGAACCTATCTCAATATCATAAAGCAATCTAGGAAAAACCCAAAGCAAATGTCACAGAAAAACAGGAAGCATTTCTTTTAAAATCTGGTACAAGACAAGAATGTCCACTGTCACCACTCCTGTTTAACACTGCCAGAAACTCTAGCCAGAACAATTAGGCAACCAAAGAAAATAAAAGCGATAGGAATAGGAAAGGAAAAAGTCATGTCATCACTGTTTGAAGATGGTATGATTCTGTACCTAGAAGATCTAAAGAACTTCACCAAAAGACGTCGGAGCTAATAAACAAATTTACAAAGTAACAGGTTACAACATCAACATACGAAAATCAACTGCTTTCCTATATACCAATAACAAATCTTCTGAGAAAGAAATCAGGAAAACAATTCCATTCACAATAGCCTCAAAAAAATAAAACACCTAGGAATAAATCTAACCAAGGAGGTGAAAGACTTCTCTATTACTACAGACTTCTCTATAACTGAAAACTAAAGAACACTGAAGAGAGAAATTGAAGAAGACCTCAGAAGATGGAAAGGCCTCTCATGTTCATGGACAGGCAGAATTCATATTATTAAAATGACCATACTACTAAAAGCAATACACAGATTCAATGTAGTCCCCATCAAAATATCAATGACATGCTTCACAGAACTAGAAGAAACAGTCCTAAAATTCATTTGGAAGAATAAAACCCAGATAGCCAAAGCGATTAAGCCAAAAAAGGCAGTGCTGGAGGCATCACGATGCCCGACTTCAAGTTACACTGCAGAGTTAGAGTGACAAAAATGGCACTGTACCAACAGAGAAACAGACATGTTCTACCCTGTACAGTGGGACAGAATCCAAGACAGAGACACACCCACACATTCACACTCATCCAATTCTTGACAAAGGTGCCAAAAACATACCCTGGAGAAAAGACAGCCTTTTAAAAACAAATGGTGCTGGGACAACTGGTTATCCAAATGTAGAAGAAAGAAACTAGACCCTTACCTCTCACTCTGCACAAAAATCAACTCAAAACAAATCAGAGATCTTAGAATTAGATTAGAAACTAGAAGAAAACATAGGGTCAACACTCCAGCATATAGGCACAGGCAATGACTTTCTCGATACGACCCACAAAGCTCAGGATATAGTG